CGAAAGGCATCATTCTTTTCTCCTATGATCCTTCGAATTTTTCGATTATACTCTCTGCTGTGTGTCATTATATGGTCAAGATCGTTGTATTTCTGTACTGTTTTAATTTTGACGTCAGTGTTGCTTAACTTCCATCGAGACCTAATCGTTCACCGGTGTGCAATCTGCTCCATCCTTTATGGGTGACCATGGCCTTCCGTAACTTTGTAGCTTTTTATTACGGTTTGTCTTTTCCCAATGCTTGTTCTGTTATGCATTTACACAAGCTGGTTAACTAAATTACTGGTTTAAGGCGACATCATGTTGAAACACCTGTTCCCGTATGGCCACCGATGTTAAGCAACCTAGATATGTGACCGTTTGAGAATACCAGATGCTGGCAGGTTGGATGTGCGGGTGGTGTAATACATAATGTCACGCAATTGTTAATCGGAGAGAGCCAAGTTCCAATTCCCATGCAAATACCACTGTGAAAGGTATGAAACCACCTCTTCTTCCCCCAGATATGTCTTAATTAGTAAGACTTGTATCACTAAAAAATTATGCAACTTTAGAAAAAAATACAATCTAAAAAGATATATTTTTTCGGCTTTAAATAACATGCAAAGGGTTGATAAACCGTAAAAAACAATCAATCAATAACTAATTTGCTCATTGTTTCTCTCTATCCCTCTTGCTTTAGATATGTCTTGTGATTTTAAATTCTCCAAATCCCCTTTCTTATTGTGTGACCTAAAAATGAATTTAAGTATGTGTCCATTTTTATTTCAGTTTTCTTTAAAACGTCTTCGTTACTCACAATGTTGCGTCCATTGTATAATCAGCATCCATCTACATGACATTTTTTCCTGAATCAAGTCTCCTTTTTATCTGTGATAAGATTATCCAGCATTCACTGCCATATTGGTAGACTGGCATTAACTAACACTTAATCACTCTTTTCTTTGTGTCTATCGACAGTTTTCAGTTTCGTAATATTTTATTATTCCAATGAAGCTTCTGATTTCAATGTCAGATATTCCGTCTTCTGTTAAAACAATTCCTCTTTTTAAATTTTTCGTACTTGTTTGGTTTTGGCACCATCGATTCGTACTCATCTTAGATTGTTCCTCATGCTGACGTGTTTTCCCGATCGCTACTATCTTAACCTGTTCTAGTTTACTATTAACCTTTATCTTCCTCATATATCCGCATAACTCACTATCACAAGATGCTACCTGTCCTTGTGAATCTCATTATAAAAGAAATCGTACTTTCTTCTCACTTATCTTCTCGCGAAAATATTTTTCAGCTTAATACATGCCACAATCGTTGAATACACTGACAAGATCGACCTAAACCGTCACCAAGCAAATATAAATGCCCATCTTCCGAAACACTGTGTCGGAGTAAGTAACATTAATTTTGTATCAGGCACAGATAGAGAACATCCAAAGAAAAACAACCCGGCTTACGCTAGAGATTTGGTGGGTGATAAGTACATTAATACGAATAGATAAAGTTCGTTTATTGTCTGATTCACACCCCTCCCCGGTCTTTTGAACATGCCTATAGATTTTATCCCTTGGGTTTCCTGTTCTTTCTAAAGTTTTTTTTTCATTCTCTTTCATTCTAAGTAGTTCCTTGCGTCTTAATGGCATTATCGCCTTGCTTAGAGACAATATAATGGTTAAAATAACAAATACTTATTTAATGAAAATGCAATATTGTTTCTGTTTTTTTTTTTTTGTTTTTTTGTTGTTGTTTTTTGCATATCCTTTTGGTAAGTTTTTATGTACAATAATCCAGTTTCTAGTTCGCCTTTGCGTAAACTATAAACAAGGCCGAAGCCAAATACTTCAAAAAGTTGGAATTTGGCTCCAGAAAGAAATATTTACGAATGGATAGTTATATCTTGCATGCTCAAGAGTAAGAAATCCTAAGAATTTATTCTTCTCTCTTAAAAAGAAAAAAAAAGTATATTTTCTTAAAACATATTGTTTACCATGAAGTCCTTTAAAATTAAATTAAATTAAAGAAATTATCAAAAATAAGGTTATTGTCGAAGTATTTTTCCATACAAATCAGCTTATTCAAATTTCATAGATTGGTTTGCGAAATTGAACGAAATGTAGAGTTTGAAAATCTCGACAAAAATGTTAGCGTTAACTTCGACAATACTAAATATTGTGAGGATTTTAACACCCGTCAGCGTGTTGCAAAAATATCTCGACAGCCCACGAAAGTTTATCACAGGCAATATTTGTGGGGATTCTGGAAAGAACAAATTGGTCGCAGTTTGAGAGAATAAAATTACTATCCATGGCTTCACGGTTTTGGTCAGTATAGCACTACACCACTGGTGGACAATCAAAGAAAGAACGAACTGGTTTCTTCAGTGTGCTGTCATGTGAGATAAAGATGCCATCTATTGCGTGACATCTTAGGTTACTTTAGCACGAGGACTTCACATCGAGAAAGGAACAAACTAGTTATGTTCGCGTGTTTGGTCTGCAAACTGGAACCGTTCCCGCTTTTTGTCTTTGTATTTTTATTTTGGTAGAGATTGTGGTGGGGGCTGGGGTGGGGTGGAGATTGCCATTATTTTAACAGTCAACTCGTTCTATCCGAAAATGAAAGGGAGATCATTCTAACGGTGGCTTTCCGTGAATGGAACTGCTGACCAACTCTGAATCAAGCTAACAAATATCGGTTTGCCTGGTATTACTTCCTCTCTAGTTGGTTGGTATTACTTAGCTCCCCCTCACCATTCCACTCTTTTGTCGTTCTCACTACTTCCTTGACATTTTCGTCTTATATTCTTCAATTTTCTTTATTTGAATATTCACCAACACCGCTTTTCTATCTTATTTATTCTTCCATTCCTTCTTGTCTATATATACTTATCATTCCCATATACATACATACATACATATATATATATATATATATATATATATATATATATATATATATATATATATATATATATATATATATATATATATACACCTAGTGAGCCAGACAAACGTACCTAGGTTTCACCTAAACGGATCGTCAGGGAAAGGTTTGCTCTACGATTGTATTGAGCTCTTTTGTTAGTTGTTACTCGTATCGGGGTTTTTCTTTGGGCTTCAGACCTGCATCTGTGCGATTTTTTGTCGGCAGAAGTTCATGTTTGTAGCTCTTTTCTTTTTTTTAAAAACCTTTTTTCCCTCGAAATTGATTTGATTAACAAATCAAAAATTCGAGGGTTTTTCGAAACGAGTCTAGTTATATATATATATATATATATATATATATATATATATATATGTATATATATGTATATATGTGTGTGTGTTTGGTTGTGTGTATGTGTGAATCCCTGATTTAAAATCCTACAAAACTAAACGGCTCTAATACACATAGAGATAAAATAAAGAAACAAATACACGGACAATCTCTTAAATAATTTGATTTGTGATTTCCTCGTACACTCAGAGATTCCAAGGCATTTTCCTCACACACAATTTTGTCTTTCATTCATTTTAAAATGGTGAAGGCAAAGAGAACATAGGCTCTCTGGCGCAACGCATCGTTAATAAAATTTTACACTTCACTTTTATTTTGGATACTATTATACATCACACACATATATATATATATATATATATATATATATTATATATTGTCATCCACAGACAGACTGTATCGCTGTATCACAGTTCTTCAGTGTAGTTAGACGTCTGATTGCTTCAATCTGGGATTGAAACCAGGGCGATATATATATATATATATATATATATATATATATATATATATATATATATATATATATATTATGAAATGGACTAAGTCCGACAATTATTTTATTTATTTCTATTCAGGCCGGTAAATGTTGTAAATGCAATTTATAATAAACAGAGCATTTACTTAAATACTTGTATCTATAAAAATGACGTATAAAAAATATATATATATACACACGCACACGCACACACACACACACACACATATATATATATATATATATATATATATATATGTGTGTGTGTGTGTGTGTGCGTGTGTGTGTGTGTGTATGATAAAATATAATTTTAAGGTATGTTATATTTATGTGTTAAAGTGTTCAATCTCACTGTATGTAAATATAAAAGTGGACATTGGAGTCAACACCCAGCGGCGACAGTGTGTTTCCTGGTGATACGTAATCCTCAGTCTGGACATATTCACGGGGATGAGAGATGGAGTCATACAGATTCCGTGGATATTTAGGCGAATGGGAATGTCATGAACTTTATGGTTTATTCAAGTAATAATATCCCATTTTGGAGGTGCGAATAAAAACGGATTAATTGAGAACAAAAGTTTTTTTTTTCTTTTTTTTTAAAGCAATTCATCCCAAGCAAGGCGGGAGTGCCACTAGCACGCAAAGGGTTACAGAGGATTGAGAACAAGAGTAAAAAGGCGTGTTTGAGGAAGGGATACAGAGAAGGACAGGGAACAAGCTCAGAGTGTCAGATGTCAATTGACATTACACTTGAATATTTGAAGATTATAGTCATCAGGGAAGCAAATAAGAGGAAGGGAGTTCCACAGACTGGAAGTGCAAGAGAAGAAGCTGTTTGAGACGGTTACATTTAACCGTTTTGACAGTGGAAGGGTGGAACCGAGATGCCAGCTTCGTAGCTCGCTTAAATTCAAGCAGTCTGGAAACCAGTGAAAGTAGCTGGTCTGAACAGTTGCTGTGAAAGTACTTGTAGAAAAGACAGAGGGAAGCCACGGCACGTCCGTGGGAAAGCGATGTTAAATATATATTTATCAGAAACATCCTTATCAAGAGGAAAAAAAAGAAGCCATATCTCCTCAATGAAACACATTCTTTTATCTTTTTTTTCAGAGAATGAAAGTGATGCCTAAATAGTGGTTATTGAGAAAGAAAAAGAATTGTACGAAGAAGAGGAAGTGAGAAAGAGAAAGAAAGACATGCACAAAGAGGGGAGAGACATTATCCATTACACCACCTGCACATCAAAGCTTACAGAATTTGGTATTCCCAGGCGGTCACCGATCTAGGTACTGACCAAGTTCGACGTTGCTTAACTTCAGTGATGACACGGAAGCCTGTGTTTCAGCATGATGTGGCCGTAAGTCTGAGAAAGGATAAGAAATATATACGGAGAGGAGAGAGTGAGAAAGAGAAAAAAATAAATAGTTCATTACATTCACTTACGCGCAAATGCCCCAAGGAAAGTTATGAATTCATATATTCCCCCCGACTATAGGTTAAAGAGTAGTAAAGAGTAGGCCCTGTAATCATGGTTGGTATAAAAAACTGGATCGGCAAAATGACATACAATCTACAGGGACAAAGGTGGGAACATAAGCGACACGTTAATCAGTTAAGACTGATTTAAAATGTCTGTAAAAAGAGGTGGACATTTTGTATGACACGTTTGACGTTCCCACGCCATCAGAAATGGTTGAACCAAGGTTTTATGGTAAGAGAAAAAGAATAGCAACAGAAGAGAAGAAATATAGATTCCAGAGGAAGTCATCTCAAAGAGGAGGTGTCATATAAGAATAAAGTGTCGCTGCCGACACTTGGGTTTGGACACGGATTGCCAGAGAGCAAGTCCAGTCAACCTCATCTTGAAATAATTAGATCACGTGACGGGTAAAGGAAAAATATATATATATATGGGAATTAGCGGCATCTGAACGAGTATTGTTCGAAGGCGATACTATTGTCGTATTTTTTTCTGGAAAATCTTTTGCCTAGTCAGTCCTGAATCGAAAGAGACATGATCGCCCAAGTGTGTATCATTGAATTTTATGAATGGCACTGGATGTTAATTTATCTTTCCTTTTGTACAAAATATACAACTGTTTTAACGGAATTAAATTCTTATCTATATAGCCATGAGAGCAGCAGCAGAGGAAAACAAAAAAAAATGATAATAAATCAAAATCTTTAAAGAATAACGACAAGAATAATATTTCTGTAAATATTACAAGAAAAAAAGAAGAATTAATGATAATTAAATAAATCCATTTGATGATAGAAAGATGCTCTTCACTTTTTCTTGATGTCCAGCAATTAAGTGTTTTAGCCAAAAAGACAGCAACGTTGTCCGACGGTCATCGAATCGCCATTTGACAGTAATTGATAAAAGCCGTGGGCATGTTGGCGTTAAAACGACGACGCGCGAGAAAGCCTGCGGCCATTTGCAAGACATTTATTTGAAGCAGAGTTACTTATCCTAAATATTAGACATGTCGTAACTTTATTTTGAAAAAGGATGAGTTAGTGGCGAGGGGAAAATACTGAAGCGGTGGTGGAATGTAGTAAAAAGCCTGGGAAGTGGGAACATGAAGTGACAAGTTTGAACATATGCCAGATAGATAGATAGATAGATAGATAGATAGATAGATAGATAGAATATATATATAAGATATATATATATATATATATATATATATATATATATATATATATATAATAAAAAGGCTTAAACATTTATATTCCATAATTTATTCCATTGGAATCGTAAATACGATCCAATTCATGAGACTTTTTCAAAAAGAAAACAGGAAAAAAACAACTCTGGGAATAAAAATAAAATTTAGTGAGAATTATCAATATCTATCTATCTATCTATCTATCTATCTATCTATCTCTCTCTCTCTCTCTCTCTCTCTCTCTCTCTCTCTCTCTCTCTCTATATATATATATATATATATATATATATATATATATTATCTATATATCTCTCTATATATATATTATCTATCTATCTATATATAAATATGTATATATATATGATCTATATATATATATATTATCAATATCTCTATATATATTATATATTATATATATATATATATATATTTTCTATCTATATATATTATCTATCTATCTCTCTATATATGATCTATCTATCTATATATATATTATCAATATCTATATCTATATCTATCTATCTATATCGATATATATATATATCTCTATATATACATATATATATATAGCGAGCGAGCGAGAGAGAGAGAGAGAGAGAGACAGACAGACAGACAGACAGACAGACAAACAAACAAACAAACAAGCAAACTAGTGTTAGTGATTCTATTTCTTATCAAGATTTTTCCTGCCTTGTCAAATCACGTTGAAACATCGGTTCTCCTATGATCACGGAAGTTAAGCAGCGCCGATCCTGGCCAGTACGTATATGGAGATGACTTGGGAATACCAGGTGCTATCAAATAGGATGTGCGGCTGGTGTAATGTATAAAGTCTCGAAATTTGAAATCAGAGAGCCTAGGTGAAATTCCAGTCAGGAAAATTAATACGCCTTTTATCAGTAGATTATTATCTCAAAAAAATTCTTCCAATCTAAAAATACTAGATAGATAGATAAGTAATGCAAAATATACAACAAATAGAATGAAATTGATGCTTAGCAATTATTATTGTTTTTGTTTTTGTTTCTTTTATTATGTATGTCTTCCTACAGCTAGATATATTTGCTGGTGTCAAGTGACAGCAAACCTCCTTAATTTTCTAGCAGAGAGGAATCAGTATTGATACAGATTTTTATATACACTTGTATAGATAGTTTCTCCCTCTGATTTACATGACATTCAAGATGTAATCACCCTGCCTTTGAAGTGTTTCAAATGCTCATTTATTAATCCCTCAGAATTTTCTCATTTCTAAGCCTCTTTGTACCTTATTCACATCCATTTTTTTCCACATCTTAGTAATTGCAGGGAATTTTTCTTCTTGTTTTCCCCTTTCACAGAGCATATCAGTAGAATGTTTGAGGTACACGAATTTGGATTCTATTGCTTTTTAATTAGTACAATATTCTATTTTACTTATTCGGTGAACATAATTAATTTCCCTCTGCGTATATCAAAATCTGTGGCCACTATTACTGCCTCGAGGAACAGAGTGGCTGATAATAATTGAGAAGAAATCTCTAGAAAGAATGAGTTATAGCAGTAGACACATTCGTCTATCGTTCAGTTCACAATCCACCCGTACTTCTGAACAGGAGTAGATGTTTATCACTTGTTTCCTGTTTAGGATTAGGTTTCCGGTTTCTTCTAAAGTCTACTTTATATTTCTATCATCTCCGTCTAATCTCTGTAGTTTTATTTGCTATTTATTTGTTTTTCTTCAACGGGAGTAGATAGATTCGCCTTTCGTCTGGTTCACATGCACCCCGGTCTTTTAGGTGTTTATTCTTTGTTTCCTCTTTAGAATTGGGTTTCCAGTTACTTTTCAAACCCTTTTCTTTCTCTTTCACTCCCAGAAGCACTGTGCATCTGTTATGGTCCGATTCCTTGTACCACGGTGATAGTCCAAGGTAGAACCAATAAAGAAGAACTCGAACACGGATATGGAATAACACAGATATATTACAAACAGGAATATATACAAAGAAGAAAGTACGAACAATCATGTTTAGTACGGAGAACAATGTAGTCTCGACCAATATCACTATTCCAATGTCTTGCAGTAATTGTCTGAAACGCGACTCTGTTTCGGACTGCCTCTGACTCGACTGACTGACTCTCTCGCTCTGACTGACTGACAGACTCCTGACGGACTTCTGACGGACCTCACTCCAGACTTCAGACTGAACGGTATTTAGTCACACCCCCACGAGGGCATCATGTGGCACAAGGCCGGTTTAACGTGGGATCTCCGAGCCCGTGGCCTCGGCCAAAAATATGCCCTTTGAACCCGTATAAGCGGGTTCAGGGCCAGTTTACCTCCCCGAAAGAGACTCCGCCCTTCGGCGTAGCCTCGTTCGGGTTCCTCCCCTCCCGAAGGCAGAGAGTTCAACCGATCAGCCGGTCGCCCGATTTCAGACTGAACCCCCTGCTTCCTGTTGAGGCGCAGTATTTATTACGTATGGAATAGTCCATTATGTTATTATAGGTAAGGTCCCATAACAGCATCTTAGTGGCATTATCGCCTTTCTTGAGTGAATTGGTTTACAAAAAACATTAAAATGCAAAAAAAGAAGAGGAAGGAGAAAAGTAAAATAATGGCATGAAGTTATCTATTTTATAATTAAAAACATTGCACGTTTATATATTTTTGGCTCATACAACATGACACCTGTGGATTATTACAATACAATACTGTTTTTATAAAGCACGATGGAGCAATGGATAGCGCCTCGGATTGAGGAACCGGCAAGCCGAGTTTGAATTCCACTCAAATATTACATTCACTTACGTGCTAACACCCCAAGTATTGTGAGACCAGAAACTACCTACACAATAGACTCTTCCAGGCCTATATTAAGTAGGCGACATAGCACTCTAGAGAGTGACAGAGAGTGACACAGAGAGACAGTGAGAGTCTCGTACGACCACCAGTGTTGGACACTAACATATAGTAAGCTCTGCTTACCCTATCTCTGTAACCTGTTGTTAATATATCTTTCTTACATCTAATCCGTGTTCCGTGTTTACCTTCTGTGGTCCCAACTTTGGCCCCACATCACTAAGGAAAATGGATAAATAGCCTGAGATAGCAACTGGTCTACCACAGAAAGAAATGGCAACCTACTGCGGGAAAATTCTGCCTCGTCAGTCATGTATCGAAAGATACATGATCGCCTACACGTGTGTCACACATGGCACATAACTGTCTGTTGTTATGATACTAAGTAATCGTGTTGCCATGTTAACGGATCTTCTTATGTGTAACTAAAGAAAATGAAGCTGCTAAAAATTGATTGTAATATTATTTGTTTTGTGTTAACTTTGTGGGATATTTTTTTAAATTTACCTTATATGCAACAATCGAGTTAATTCTAAAGAAACAATCCTAAATTACTCATGCAAAAGTATAACAAGTACAGCAGGGAAATTATTTACATTTTTGACGGTTTGTATAAACTAGTTTATTAAGATGAACGAAAGAAAGAAAGCGAGTGACCGAGCGAGAGTGAAATGGTAGCAACGAAACTGAAAATTTTATCAGTGGAAAGAAACAAATTAGGGGTCTGCTTATACGTTTAACCGATTTCTCGATTCAGTGAATCAGAGATTAATCTGGCTGCAGTCAAACTGAGTAACTTTTCTGTTGGCTGAAGACTTGCATCCTTTTCTGGGAAATGTCGAATATC